AATTCAGCTTTACCATCACAGGAATAAATTACATTTTAAAATATAATAAAATAGAATAGTTATTTTAAATTGTAATAATATATTACAGTATTACTATATTTTACTGTATTTTTATCAAAAAAATGCAGCTTTTGTGTAAGCATAAGAAACATTTTATAAACATATTTGTAAAAACTTGACCAAACTTTTAAAAAGTAATGTACAGTATGGGTTTCATCTCCAAGTCTAGAGGTTAGATAGGTATTCTGTAAGTTATGAAGGAAATTTTAAACAAAAAATTTGCAATATCACAGCAAACAACAAACCTGGTGCTTGTTTTTTTGCTCTATTCCACCCAGCCTGCAATTGATCTCCTCTTGGACAGTGTGAATTTCTGACCGCATCTCCATCTTTGCGGCTTTCAGCTTATTCTCCAGAGTTTTAATGAGGGGCTTACAATGACAGTCATTCGCAGGAGCCTGTTTGCAGACACTGGTTAAGAGGTTCAAAACAAACAAATGCATTGCACTAACTCTAATGTAGAGTTTACCTGCTTTATCTGTCCATCTTTATCCCTGTATAGTGTATAAAGCTGATAGGCTTTTCCAGGAGCTTCCTCTTCCTCCTGAGAGCTGGGGCTGCTGTGTTTTACTCTCTGGGATGGAGATCCTCTTTCATGTAGCTGATACGCTCTCCGGAACACATGTTCCAACTTTTTTAACTGCAAAAACATATTTAGAATTATTGAACAGAGTACTTTTTTAAATGTTCATGCTAGAGCAGGAATTATTAAAGAGCATAGGTCACATTAGAAGGAAAAAATTGTCAGGTAAAATGTCTCACCTAAAAATGTGATAACATCTAAATGAACTTATTTTATTTAAGACAAAAATAATTAATGAGTGTAACTGATTATAATTCAGATTATTAAAATACTGCAAAACAAACCCTCTAAATATCAACATACATTAACACTGTACATCACGGTATACTGGTATATAGTATAATATTATAGTATGAAATATTATAATAGGTATTAATTAATAATGATATAAATTTAATATCTCTACCTGTCTTCTTGGGCCCCTGATCTTTCTCCTCGTGCCGGGGCTCAGAGTTGCTGTTTTTCGTTCAGGTACTTGATCACTGTTTTTTGTGTCTTCTGCCACTTCAGTATAGTCCTGCACAATGATGGGAGTGCTTAGCATGAGAGGGATATTTAGGCGAAAACAATCACATGATCTCTGATCTCTTTTAGGGTTATGGAAGCTTAGTAGTCATGTGACA